TGTGTGTGTGTGTGTGTGGGGGTGAACAGAAAAATTGATTTGCTTTAGTGGAGCGAAGTAGTTAACGCCCAGCCCTAAGCCGCCACACAGTATATCTCTCTCCTCATAGCCAAAAGGTATTAACCGTTAACCATTAACCTGTCAACGTGGCCGCAGTTTGCAACACCATTTAGTGGCAACACGAACGAAGTTCAAGTGTAGTGGAGCCTGGAAGACCCAGCGGCGCGGCATTTGCTATCGCCGGTGCCTAATCTATAAGCAGTAATCAAATTTCATGCTTGCAGCGCTACGGCTACGCTACCAACTTGCAGCAGCGTACGGGGCCCCAGCCACTGCCACAGCCACAGCCCATAATTATGCAACACATGTTCAATGCAACAATTGGCCATAATTTAGTCAAAGGTAATTGAGTAAGCCACGTCTCGCTGGCTAACGCCACGACGCGCCACGGTCTGCTCTATCATTATGCGGTACCCAAACTCCCGAGAACCGAACCGATCCGATCCGATCCGAGCCCCGGCTCAGGGCCCTCCCCATTGTACGCACAGTAGTCACAGGCAGGGGCAGGCTGGCAGGCGGACAGGCGGGCAGGCAGTAGCCTTGATTGACGACCACAATGAAGATTGAGTGATGTGGCTGTGGCTGTGGCATTGGTGGTGCTTCTGTTGGGCGCCTGCCACTGCCCTACCCCCCCGTGAGTGCCGTCTGCTGCCTGCTGCCTGCCTCCTGCCTTGTTTATTTATTTCTAGTTAGTCGCATTAACTCGCTCGACTGTTATATAATTGTATACCCAAGCGATTGGATGAGCGAGCATCTGTGCTCCTTCTGCTTGGAAATTCCTTGGATCCTTGGATCCTACCGTAATTGCAGTACTTAATGATTGAATAATGGAAGAAAAGAGTGAGCTAAGCGCTTGCCTCATACGAGATACGAGATACGTATCCGAGCGCACATACTGGCATAAGCTAGAAATTGTTGTTTAATTTGCGGAAATTGTTTGCCAAAGTGTTGTTGGCCGGGGTAACAAAAAAGGAAAAAAGTGAATGTAGATACGCGGAAAAGAGACGCAGGATTCAATCGGCGGTTATTGATTGCTTTCTGATTGCAAGAATACCAAATAAAACGCACTTAAAAAAGTGTTGGAATTTGTGCAAAAAACTAATTAATTACATATTTAGCCTACAATCATTTTGCATTTCCGCCTGGCAACAATCAGCGGTTGTCGCGGGCTGGCGATTACCTCCCCCCAATCATCAATCAAAATGCAACACACAAATTCAACCCATGCACCACCCACCTACACGGCCAGTGCCTCCGGGGGGGTCAGGCCAGCCCACTGCACGCCTTCTCATGGCTCGTATCTAGTATTTAGAATCTCGTAACCTTGCGCCGATTTCTCAAACAAACACACACACACACACAAGGGAAAGAGAGAGAGAGAGAGACAGTCATATACATTTCGTAGCGAGAAAGGGATGGCGAGATATTTGCAATTTTTATGCGCCACAAAAATTATAAATTAAGTACTAATTACATGGAAATACTCCATGTACAGCCAAACAATCGTCTAGAAAATCTGTAGGAAAATCAAACGAATGCCGCCTGCAATGTGTGTGTGCAACGTGGTGGTGGTGGACACGCCCACCTAATGCCCATTGCGTGGGCGTTACACTAATGATCGACAGAACAGAGCAGAGCAACAGAGCAACAACAACAACAACAACAAAAACGTACAGAAAAATGTATGAAATTATCGAAACTTACAACAGCAACAAAAAGTAAGAAGAAATAAATGAAGCTGAAGCCGACGCATTAGATGCACTTGCAAATGCAATTTTTTTTTGGTAAATCAGAGCATAAGTGAGAACGGGCATAGCAGGGATTTTCTTCATGGGAGTGGGAGTGAAACGCAAGTGTTTGCGTGGCTCTCTCAGCAATAATAACAACAATGCCGATCGCTCTCAATGCACTTCATTTCATGCACGAGCTTTCTCCCCATTCTCGCACTCTTATTATTTGCTTCATTATTTTGCGCTCTCACAGCAATAATAACAAAAATGCATTTAAATCGAACAACAAATGCGAAGACATAAGAAATAACCAACGGGACTTTATTACTCTTTGTTTTCTGCGTGCCTTTCTTTTGTTGGCTTTTGTTTATTTTATTGCAATTTATTTTCAATGATGACACGATTCTGCTCTATTAATGCTCCATTATTAAACGCTGCTGTTCCTGCATCGTTCCCTTCTTCGTTTGCTTTGGCAAACCCTCTCCATAAAGTCATATTACCCCTCTTTGCTAGTGTAAACATGCAACAGCAGCAGCAAGACAGTAAAAACCCAAAAAAGTAAAAATAAAACTCACATCACGCCATGAAATATGCAGCCCGAGTGCGCCCAAGCGGGTGTCTACTGTAGTGCAATGCTTGGATGGAACATTTGATTGGTAGTGGCATTCGGCATTCGACATTTGGCGTTGCTGTTGTTCTCTTGAATGGGGTGATAAATTATTTCCCCGGCATTTACATAAATGCTTTGAATGCATTAATTAAAGTCCATGCCACGCCCCCAAAATAGACAGACAGCCGCCGCCTCCTGCTCCACCAACATCATCACCACCAACAGCAACAGCAACAGCAACGAGCAGAGAGCAGAGTTGTTCGGATCCAATCAATTGTTGTTTATTATTGAGCCAGGCCCATAGAGAAGCCATTACCATTCCGATTAGCCAAACGGCCTTATACGAATGTGTACGACTGCCAGAGTATCTTTTGTTTGGCGCATACATATCTGCAATCGGAGGGGCTGGGGTGGGTAATATATGCATATATATTGTGTATATGTATATTCGCCATTTTAAGTGGCCTGCCGCCGCCTAATTGTTCATAAAAGTCAACAGTCAATAGCTCTTTATGTTTGCGCTTTTGAAATTTATATTTATTTATTGTTATACCGATGGGTTTCGTTATTTGTTATGCCCAGCTTCATAATTTTTGCGCAAAAAGACATTTCTGCAGCGTGTTTCTGGCTGGGCATTCTGCAGTAGCCATTTGGAAATGAGTCTTTTCAAACGCCAAGGTCTGTGCCGTGCCATTCTTTACAATTAGCAACTGAATTTATGAGCGATTTCAATTTCAATGCGATTTGTTTGTTGCCGATTGCCGATTGCCATTTTCTGTTGCTGTTTGCTGACTCTTGGCTGTGGGCTAACGAGTTTCAGGCCAAATCAGCTAATGACCACAATAGAAATGACAGCAAAACAGCAGCAGACCAGCAGCAGCAGCAGCAGCAGTTAGCAACATCAAAGTCAAAGTCACTGACAGCAATCGATGCCATTTAATTGGAGCAAAAGGGTCAGCCCACAGTGTGTGCTTGGGCCACATAAAACCCACATAGTTGTTTTCTATATCCGTCTATAACCACTATCAATGGTATTTCGCACTCCAAAATGCATAAATAGAATAGAAAGACATATATTTGCATGGAAGAAAAAAAGATTTGTTTAGTATTTGTGATAATTTCTTACAAAATTTAAAACGGAAATTAATATGTTTTCTTTTAAGAAATAATTTGTTTAATGGCAAAACGAGCAGGAAATATTTAATTATAAAAAAAAAACTCCAAAAAAGTTTTCCTACCTTCACTAACTGAATAATCATATTTTAGCTTTTACACTACGTAGTGTAAAGTGTCCAGTACTCGACAAAATTGGACTTTTTATTTACAATTATGTATTTAAAATATTGCAACTTTCCCAACTGTAAAATGTTGATTTTCGGAGGGTTGGTAAACAATTTTTTATCAGCCGTTTCCCCATAGATTTTGATGAAAAATACTTTAAACGACTTCTAATTAATACACAAAAATATAAGAATACAGGATATCATTTTTTTACACTTTTTCTAAATTTTTAAAGTCACTAAAACCTTAATTTCTGCATTTGAAAGCTTAATATTCCTCAGACGGTAGGCTGAAACCACAAATAGCTTTAACCCATTTTATAGCTATTCAGAATGCCAAAAATGATTACAGCCAGATGTAATATACTTCAGTTATGTGAAAACAAGAAGAAATACCTCTTAAAAACGCATTAAAAATATATGTTTTTTAATTCTTAAAAAAAAGTTCTGCAAAAAAAAAAAAAATTTTATTAAGCATTTTTAAAGCCCCAAATCTATAAAAAAAAGTGGTTTTGTTATGAAGTGGAAGAATGGTGTCGGAAAATATTATTATTATTATTACTAGGAAAACAATATTCAATGCAAAAACTTTTCTAAATTAATTCACTCAATCTCTGCCCTTACGACAGAATATTACTCTCCAGAAATTCCTAGAAAAGAACGCTTCCATTTCGATACATTATCAGATTCTTTATAGTTTTTACAAATTTCTGCACAGAATCTCTGGCCATTTCTAGACCAGAACGAGGGTAGCTACAATTCATGTCAGTGAAGGTGTTTCTTATGCCTCCATTTGCCTTCACATTTAGCACCTTAGTTGTCCGGCGATACGAGTAAATCTTCTCTGGCCTCTTGCCCTTCACTTGTTAGCAATTTAATTGTTGTATCTTTCATTTGGAATCACATACGACACACACCACCACATCGTATGTGAATGCTGACATAATTTTCTTAGATCATCGCCCAGTTTAGCGCCAATTTCATGCAATCATTGTAATTCTATTAACAATATCTCTGCCTTACCTCCCCTCCCACCCATTCGATGTATGACATTTAGCAATTGTTTGGTCACGTTAGAACAAGCCATAGGAATTGGAATCGTAGACCATAAACAATTACGTGGTCGTGGTCAAGGGGGCAATTTGGTAGATGTTTCGATAAGAATAACTCGACTCTGGCCTCTGGCACGACTTGCACTTGAACCCACCTCCACCTCCACCTATTAGCTGTAACCGATTGAGATCTTGTTGGGGCCTTAAAACTGTGGGAGCTCTGGCCCTAGGGATACAGTGTCCTTTTGTCAGGCCTTTGTGGTGCAACATGTCTTTGATTTTCTTACTTTTGCTGCTGCTGCTGTTGCTGGCGGGGGCCCTGGTGGGGGCCTTCAAAGCCCGCGATGTGATCCAACAGCTAAATGAAGATCTCAGACTCGAACTAAATATCTACTTGAATTGTGGAGGACTCGCTGAGGAGACGCACCGCATGGAGATGCCCAAAATTATACTGGATACAGAATCGGATGATCCGCTGCCTAGGATTTTGGGTCGCTTCAGTGAGCGATGCCTGACGATTGCCTGTACGGAGGACAATCGAACGTTGTCGGGGATTGTGCAGCTGCTTTGGGGGCTGCAGCATTTGCCGATACTCTTTGTGCTGTCGCACCAAAAGGATTTCCCCTTTGAGAGGGCTCTCGGCCAGGGTTTCCTGCACGTATTGGCTCTAAATCGAAGCGACGGTGAACTCTACACGTATCTGCCATACCCCAGGGTACAGGAACATCGACTGGCGGCCGTCGCGGAGTACCATCGCCTGACGCGACTCCGAAATCTGCAGGGGCATGCGGTGCACATCACTGTGGAGACAATGGCGCCGCGTTGCTTCCACTACACGGATCGCTGGGGCAGGCATGTGTACGCGGGGTACATGTACAAGCTGCTGCACGAGTTCATTCGCGTCCACAACGGCACAGAGGTAACTGTGCTACAGGACGTGGATCCCATACCCCTGGCCGTGGGTTTGTTTATGTTCAAGCGGGGGGCCATTGATATGGCGCCCAGGATCATCCATCCGCTGGGCTGGGTGTCCTACTATCGCAGTCATGTGCTCTTCAATGTGAACGGGTATATTATGGTGCCGTGGGCCGAGCCGCTGCCCAAGAGCCTGTATATTGTGCGTCCGTTTGAGTCGGCCGTGTGGGCGGGTCTCATTGGTTACCTGCTGCTGGCCACACTCATCATCCGATGGATGCGCGATGAGACGAGCAGCCTGGCGGCCACATTCCTGCAGGTGCTGCAGATGATGCTGCAGCAGTCGATGAACAGCATGCGGCACTTTACGCAGGGACTGCGGCATGTCCTCGTGTTCTTGGCCCTCTTCACTGTGGGCTTTATACTGAGCACCCTTTACACGGCGCAGCTCTCCAGCTCCCTGACGACGGGCCTGTACAAGCGACAGATCAACAGCTTTGACGATCTCGCCCACACCGATCGGAAAATAATGATGGAGAAGTTCGACATTGAGTTCCTGCTGAACCACACGAGATCTGGCGTCATTCAGCCGGGCCTCATTAACATCGTTCTGAACACGTCACTCGATCAGGTCTTCTACCATCGCAGGCATCTGAACACCACGTACATCTATCAGGCCATGGAGGATCGCCTCCGTTTCGAGCTCTTTCAGCAGCGATATCTACGCGTGCCGCTGTTCAAGAAGCTCACCGAGGTCTTCTACCAGGTGCCCTTCTTTGTGGGCCTCCGGCACGGCCTGCCGTATGCAGGACTCTTCAACGTGTACCTCCGACGCATCTGGGAGTCGGGCATATTGTTGAAATGGGAGGGGGAGGCCTACTTTGAGGGTATATTCAGTGGCGAGATTCGCTTTCACATACCCACGGGCCTGCAGATCCAAGTCTTTGACATGGAATTCTATTACTGCACTTACATATTGCTGGCTCTTGGCTGGCTTAGCAGCGCCATTGTGTTTCTGATGGAGCGAATGGCATGTTGTAGAGCTGCTAAGTCATCGATGGTGGAAATATAAAATATCCTAGAAATTTTTCATAAATTCAACTTCATTTCTTAAAATAAATAACAAAAAATCAAATTATTAAAAAAAAAAAAAAGTTGACTCATTTCTTAAAACTATTGAGATATATTTGTCATTTAGCAATTGGATTTTGATATGCGCAAAAACATGTCCATTTTAACCGAAGTAACCACCAACCAAATTGAGAAAAACAAAACAAATGCTTATGTCAGTGAATACAGTGAAACATCGATGATAAAAAAAAAAAACATCGATGCATCGCACAATTATACAAAAATTGATGTTAACATCGATGTTTTTTGCAGTCCTAATATGTTGGCAGCAGCCAGAAGCCAGAAGTTGGAATTGATTCGATTTCACTTAATTGTTATTGTTGTTACCTGCCAAAGAAGTGACTCACACGTTCCTTCCCATTGTAAATGTAATTAAAAATTTATAAATGGAATTCTGTCAGTCCTCAAAAAAAGTATTTCAAAACAAAACAAAGAAGAAATATAGATTTTTCCATCGATTCTTTATTGCTTCAAATGGCTTGGCTTGGATTGGACTGCTCGTGGGGATCTTGCCGTCGTGTTTAGTCCTCACAATGATTGACTGAAGCCAAGCGGGGTCGAAGACGACGAGTGTTTGCTGGTGGTCTTGGCTGGATGAGGCGCTTGCTCCGATTCTGTACTCTGTAAATCGTCCAATGTGATGATTGTGCGACCGGCCTTTTGTGCAATGGCCTGAGCCTCACGGAGTTTATTTCTTGCCTCATCTGCAACAGGGTTGTGCTAGATCTAGATCGGTTTCTATCGCTTTCACACACGGATCACTTACCGATAGGCATAGCAAAAAGAGCGCTGGTCAGCTCGTGGTTTGGCCACATGGGCAACTCCACAACTCCGTCGAGCAGCGTGCAAATCCGGCTGTAATAATTTTCAAAACTCTCCATTTTACAATTTTACAATCAAAAAATTCAGTTGCAGACGAACGAACACTAACTTTTGATATTTTGATATTTTGGAATGAAATATAAACGACAGGAAACTTGATTTTGTCAAATTTTCAAATCTATGCACATACGATATTTGGAACAATTTAAAAATCTTTGTGTTTTCTGTCAAAAATGGTTGAAATAGAAACTCTAGAGTTTGATTATAAAGCTAATATACATCATGGATCACTTCCTCATACTTAGAATTAGCGGCCTACCCGTAAAGTCTTTTTTAAAAATTCAAAAACCGTAATTTGTTGACCGCAGCGCCTATATCCATACTACCTTTCACAGGATTTTTGATTCGTGGCTATAGCATGGATATAACTGAAGATATAATGACTCAAAGTTGAAGTTTTCCACCAATTCTAATGTTTCTTCAACGTTGTATTTTTTACATATTTTGTATGTTTTGGTATTTCTTGTAGACATGAACTTTTTAGTGCCATTTATTCTCAACAAAATTAGCTACTAATAAATAAAATTGTCCGAAGAATGCCAACGGTACGATTTTTTTAAGTAAGTGTACCTTATTAATAATAATTAAAATAATTATAAATTATATTATTTCTTATGTACATACATATGTACTAATATATTATATTAAATTTATTGATGTATACTCGAGAGCCCCAATTTGTACTGACTCCTTACCACTCTCCTACTTTACCTCTTCATATCGTTCGGCGAACGAGTAATAAAATATAAAAAAGCTGTCCAAAAAAGGTAATTGAATGTGTTAATTGGAACGTACGCAAAAAAACAAGATCCAAGTGGCGGCTTGTAAATTACAAAGAATTAAAATATATAGACTTTTTTGTAGTTGCTGATTTTTATCAGGATAAATTGGACATAATACACTACACCTAATGCAGGAATCTCTGAATGAAAAAATGCACTTAAATGAATTAAACTAGAACTGGAATTAGTGATTGCGACTAGAATATCCCCTGTATTCAAAGCAGGGCCCCGAGCTATGGAAGGACTCCGATTGGTTGGAAAATCGTTTTCTTAGGGTTCGTTTGAGCTTTAGTTAGAGTTAATAATTTGTAGGAAAATACCCTAAAATTAGCATTTGGCCCAGGGAATAATTGAAGGAGGATAAGAGGATAACTAAAGCCTATGACACGCGTTTTTATTTTTGCTTTTTGATAAGAGGTAATCATTTGCTTTGTGCCAACGTATTGAGGAACTGTCAGTAAGGTTCATTCAGACACCATTTGATGGTTTAATGATTCCACAAGAGATAGCTATAAAAAGCAGAGCCACCGCATTGCCGGGTAACGAGTCGCTTCAATGGATTTGCTGAGCCTGAACACGTTGCAGAACCTTTCGCTGCTTTCGCAGTCAGTCGAACAGCTCAATGGATTGTACGGAATGGAACTCAATGTTTTCCTGGATTTTGGTAACAGATCTGACAGTCTGGCAGCCATACGGCAGCCCTCGGTGGCGAGCCTATGGATACGAAATGTGGAAATTCAATTGGTGCTCGAGGGGAACTTCAGCAGTCGCACTTTGACCATTGTTCAGCTGGAGCAAGCACTTCTACAACCGACTCTGGAGTATCTAACAGCTTGGCTGTGGCGTTATCAGCATCTTCAGGTGCTCATCGTCTATACGGGGGCCACGCAAGTGCTTCTGGAGATCTTTGACTACTGCTGGAAGCAGGGAATGGTGCACATACTGGCAGTGGAAGCAGCAACCGGCCAGCTCTACAGCTTCATGCCGTATCCGAAACTGCGGCTGCTGTCGCTGGCCTCTGTTCAGGCGTACTACGCGCGCACACGGGGAATGTTGAGGAACTTTCAGGGGCACAACATTACCACGGGCATCGCCTACAACGGAGGACCGCGTTGCTTTGGCTTTCGGGATAGTCACAATCGTACGATCCTGGCTGGTTATATGCTGCACATGGTGCTGGAGTTTATCAAACACTTTAATGGCACCATGCAATTGATTTACATCACATCCGTGAGCCAGGCCATAGGACTGCTGACCAATCGCACGATTGACCTCGTGCCGTATCTGATGATACCCGCAGATGACTTATATGCCGCCACGAATGTACTGTATCTGGAGAACTGTGTGATGATGGTGCCCTCGTCCCGGCCATTGGCTACGTTTTTGTATATGGTGCGACCCTTTACGTGGGGCACGTGGCTGACGTGGCTGCTGATACTCGTCTACTGCTCGGCGGCGTTGCTGGTGCTGTCCCAGGGTCGCCTCAATCCGAGCGCCGCCTTCCTGGAGGCACTTTGTCTATCGCTCTTCCTGGGCATTGGCAACTATCTGACGCGGGGCACACCCGCCCCCCGTGGCATACTAATCTTTGTTCTGCTCACAGCCTCTGGCTTCATTTTGACCAATCTGTATCTGGCCCAGCTGTCGACGAGTCTGGCGGCGCGTCTCTATGAGCGGGAGATCAACACCGTGGACGATCTGCCGGGCACCAATCTCAAGTGGTATATGATTGCCTACGATGCCGCACAGGTGCGCAGTCAGTTCTCCAATCGGCCGAATGTCATCAAGCACATTCTGGTCGGATCCAATGAGAAAACGGACGATCTGCGGCGGCAACTGAATACGTGCTGCGTCCACTCGGGCTACGAGGATCGCATTGATTTTATCCTGTACCAGCAGAAGCTTTTGCGGTTTCCCATCTTCCGCAAACTACCCGAGATTCTGTACCAGCAGCCCCACCAGATACCCGCCTCGTTCGGGCGTCCCTATCTGCCATTTTTCAATGATTTCACGCTCAGGATATTCGAGAGTGGCATTCAGCAGAAGATGAAGAGCGACTCCTATCGCCATGGCGTGCAGAGCGGGCAAATTCAGTTCAATTTCAGGGATCGCTACATGGAAGTGAGCTCGAATAATCTCGAATATTATTATGTGATTGCGGGCCTGTGGCTGGGCGGCATGCTCCTGGCCACCATATCGTTTCTCTGTGAGTACTATCCCCATCGGAAGGGGGGCAATACGAGCCTGAATAAAGTGTGAATGGAATCCCAGAAAAATAAACTGCAATTACAAATGAAATATTTCACCTGTCAGCTGTTCGCTGGTGTCCGTTACGCCTCCCTTGCAGTCTCATTTGCATGGCCGCTGGCCTGGCTGCTGCTGTTGCAGGAGGTTGCAACTGCCTGCAACTCTGCTGCTGCCTCTGAAGGTGTCTTCGATTATTGCCAAACATTAATTATTTGCGCGCCGTTTTTTTTTCATACGCCTCCTTCTCCTTCTCCTTGGTTTGTTTTGTGAAAGGCCTGGGCTAGTAGTTCAAATGTTTATTTTTCTGTTGCGCTTTTGTGGTGTATCTTTGATTGCTGGCTATAGCGGCAGCCACAGAGCCACCGAGTCACAGAGCCTGGCGCGCAACACTGCAATTTTTGCGCAATGAATGTGAGACGAGGTACGGTCAGGTCGTAGTCTCTCTCCCTCCATTTGAGCCTGGCTTATTTATTTTTGGCCAAAATTGCACATTTTCCCATGCTGCTGTTGCTGTGTTGCCTCTCGTTGTTGTTGTTGTTGCTGCTGCTGTTTTTGTTGTTGTCGCGTCTAATCAAGGAGCGGAGTTAAGAGTTGTTGCCTTGGTCGCCCCTTGGTTGCCATTTAGCCCGAAGCCGGGGCTGGCTGGCTGCCTGGCTGCCTGCCGCAGCCAAAACGATGAATATTGATTTAATTGAAAGTCATTGAGAGGCGCGCACGTACTTCATAGACACGAGGCGGCGGGCATCGCTGTCGCTAGATGTTGTTGCGGGTTTTGTATGCCCTAACCGAGGGGTCTTATAGAAATGGGCAGACATTTGTAACTTATGGGAGGGGATAAGTGTTTAAGTTTCGGTTATAAGTTCCCCCAAAGGTTCAGTTTATTTTTTTCTTTGATAAATAAATTATTTACATACGGAATTAAATTAAATAAAAATTCATTAAAAATTCAGAACACTTCCAAAAGTTATAGAAAGAAATCTATTATCGGAAAGAGTATTTGTAGCTTCGTTCTGTCAAAGTATTTGCCTTTCTTGCTGTTGTCATGGCTTTCCATTGGCGTGGCAGCAAACCGAACGCCGATCGCAGCTTGTGCCCTCCCACATGCCACATCACACACATACACGTACACATGGGACAAGAACCGACGCCCCAGCTAAAGTTTTTGTTGTTGTTGCTGCTGCTGGCACATTGACACAGTTTTCCGTGTGGCAGATGTGCCCAAGCCCCCACTCCTCCTGCTCTGGTGCAGCCTCCCTCTCTATATGTATATTGGAATTTTGTCGACTTGTTTTCTGCTTTGGCGTCGTCGTTGGCGATGCTGCCAAATGTCAAAAGGTTAATACGTGAATTAACAGCAAATTTCTTTGACTTGTGTGTGACTGCATGCCTGTCTTTTGCTACCCTGTGTTGGCAGAGGGGTACATTGACTTTGCAGGCAGCGTAAACGTCGAAAGAAATCTTCGAGTCTCTAAAAATAAACGTAAGAAATTACAGTTCTGTTATGGAAGGGTATTTAAGAATTCGGCACTCAAATTATGTTGTTTTTTTTTTTGGGCTTTTAGTCGTTGTTCATTCTTCGTGCAGCTGCTGGCGCTTTCATCGGAATGCGGGCGTTGCTATGTTTGTTGATTTTCCTCCTTATTTTTGGGATCCATCCGCTTTCTTCGTGGGTTCCCCTTAATGCAACAGCATGTGGCCGAAAGTGGGGATGGAGATGGCGATGGGGCTTTGTCTCTCTGCCGCATATTACATTCAAATGGCTTTTTGTTCATAGTTTTTCCCAATGGTTTGTCTCTATGCTAATAAATCAATGGGGGAATCTCTGTGGGGCGAATTCCTTACATTTTCCCAGGGAATAAAAAGGAAGCTCTTAAGTATGTTGTAAATATCCCCGATACCCAATCAGAGAATTTCATTTCTGTTGGAATAAACACTTAATTATTTTCTTGGAAATAAAATCATTTTAAAGTGGAAATAGAATAGAAGATATATAAAAATATTTTGAGTGTAATTTAATGGAGTTTTACATTCTTTTAAATCTTAATAACTAAAATTGTATCTTTTGATGTTTTAAAATCAATTTTTTGAAGTTGTGAGATACACAGAGAATACATATTATTTATTTTATTTTATTTCTTTACATTTTATTTTGTTTACTTAATTTGTTTTTTTAACTGTCTGGCTTATATCTCAATCAAATTTCTCTTCTTAAAATTCCTAAAAATTCAACCTCATAAAAATACCCCTAAATAAAAGTCCCAACAAGAAAGTTATTTTGTATAACAGTGCTCCTTTAAATATAACAGTTGTCCTTGCTAGTTAGCCGAGACCACAACCTTTTGCGCCTTGCGTAAAAATATCCTTGTAATGGTTCTGTACTTGTCCGCCAGATGGCGTCAATCAGAAATTGAATTTTTAAGTTGGAAAAACATTTTCAATTATTTTGAAAATTCCAGGCCATGCGCTCGATTGAGTTTTTTTAAATGTAAGCCATATGCAGCCCACATAAGATAGATCTCTCGATTAACCCCCCCAGTGGCAAAGACAGAAATGCAGCACAGAGACAGGGACAGCGAGAGAGAGACAGTGTATGCTAATTTGTGCGGCACAGCGGCGGCAAGTGCATAATTTTTATTATTATTATTATTTCGCTTTTTGTTTTTGCCAAGTGTAGCTGTGGCGCTACAGAAGTGCCAATATCTGGGGGCAGATCAAAAAGCAGCCTGTCCCACTGCCACTACCCCTGTCAGCCATGGACTGTGGACCAGCGCCAGCAATAGATTCGATTCATTAAGCGATCGTTCGCTCACAGCCACAGCGATTAAATCGTTCAGAAAACTGTACTATAGCGTATCTATATCTATATTGTATTTAGTTGAATGGACCACTGACAATTTATTGGCATTTTTAATGTAAATTATGTTATTTCAATAGAAAAATGATTTTTTCTTTTATTGCCACACCACACAGCAGCACAGCACACACTTTATAAAGAGCACAGCCACAAAGTATCTTGTGGCTTGACTTTATCTATATCTAGTGTGTGAAAAGTGGTTCAATCGCGATAACTTTACAACTCACAGCGGACGCTCACTGGATCGTAGATTTCCTTCCCCCTTTCCCACACCGTGCATCCATTTTAATTGATTCTTAATGGAAAATATTTCCTTATCACGATTGCAAATTTATGAAAATGTTAATTACAAATCGACACAGATACTCGAAGTACGGAGCCACCACAGCCATAGCCACAACATGTTTTAACCGTAATTCAAGTCAAATTTTCGTTACTTCTTTTTCTCTCTTTATTTTATTGTTGCGAAAACTGTCAAAGACTTTGTGAGAATTTGATATCCGATAAATGGAAATAATCACAGCAGGTGGGATTCAGCCTGCCCATAAATATTGAAATTAGTTTTAGAATTGCAAAAACATTTGAGAGAGATATGCGGACGGGAATCGATATTAGGCATATTCTTTGAATGGATACGGGCTGTGACAGACTTTTGGTTGCGTTTATGGGAGACTTACCTTATAATCTACAATTTCCTGCTTTCCACGGACAAGTTTCAAGTTTTATGGCAAGTAATTTTACTAGACAGACGGCTTTGAAACTACTAAAAATCAAACTTTAAATAAAACATTTTTTTGGTTTATTAGTGGTCTATTTTTTAACGATCGATTCGGTTTCATTTCAATGCTTTCTTTATCCCCTGACTATCGTTTAGGTTCATCCTTAATCTGCACTTTCTCTGGCATGTGAAATTCGAAACGTAAGCTGCTATAAAATCTCAAGAAATCTCTGATAAAAAGCATCTACCTTTGATAAATGTATTTTGCGTTGATCTTTTAAAATTCTAATAAATTTCTGCCTTAAGAATTCCATATAAGACTACCTTAAGATTAAAGTTCTTAATAAAAACCTTAAAATCTATGGGAAGCTCATTCATTGTGTCTTCAATGCAATCTTCTTTAAAACTTATTAAAAAACTCGTTGAATTTTATGGCTTAATTCTTAAAAGGCGTATAAGTATTTCCCGTAATTTGATGGTTTTTTTGTGCGGATTAATTATATGATCTAGTGGTTTTTACGATCCATTGATTTACCATAACTTTTTCTCCCTTTGCTCTCTCTTTCTCTCGGCCTGTTTGCCCCATTTTTCTCATTATCTTTTCTCCAATTTAACGATCAATAAACTGCCTTAAAGAAACGTTTTTATAGATATTTATGCCATGATCTGCTCTAATTTCTTGGACGATCAAGTCATTTCCCTCCACAAAGAGAACTTCCCACTGTCTACATTTAACGATCGTTTCCCCAATTTTGGGGGCAGGCCATCTGGGGCAGCACTTGACTAAAAATTTAATAACATCATTTGAATGCACTTTACTGGGGAAGATGTATTCTGTGTATTATTTCTCTCTGCCTAATAGCTGTCCCATATGGGCAAACATTTAAATTCCCATCTGTCCCAAAGTCCATGCATATTTGCCGCTGCTTTGACGCCATTGTTGCATGCAACGCGGCTGGCGGCTGTCGGCGGCGGCTGGGGCGGCGGCGTCAGTAGTCGGCAAAATGAAATTTTATATTTTTTCATAATTTTTTTTCCCGCTACAATTCTGTCGGGGATTGTGGTACTGGGGACTAGGAATGGGAATGGGAATGGAAATGGGAATCTGTGGAATGGGTTCTCGGACTGAGACTTCATTTAATGTCGCCCTCCACCCACCCGCACACACCCTGCACACCCCCTGGAGGCGCAGACAGCAGTGGCAGGCCAGGCAGCGTCGCATTTAGCAAATGGCAGAACCAGCGAGAAAACCGAATCCATGGCCAAAAGCAAATGTCGGGCGGGGCGCATCCTTTTCGTCGTGCAAAGGCTGTACAAAAATCCTTTTTGTCTGGGCTGCGTCGCTTCTCATTTTCGCCAGGCGTTAATATTAAAATGCATGTAAAAATGCAGAACTTGGACAAGGAGTGGGAGTAAAAAAAAAAGAAACAAGTGAGAGAG